TATCATGACTGCGTTCTGTCTGGAAATCTATGTCGTCATTCTGAAAAACCATGCAGATCCAGAATGGATCTTTATGGTCATTTATAGACCTACCATCAGATTCTACCTCTGGAAGACAATAAGACTTAGAATCATAGAATCCTAGAGTTGGAAGAGACCTCATAGGCCATCCAGTCCAAGCCCCTGTCAAGAAGCAGGAAAGTCGCATTCAAAGCACCCCCGACAGATGGCCATCCAGCCTCTGTTTAAAAGCCTCCAAAGAAGGAGCTTCTACCACACACAAATGATCACTTATGATGATCTATGATCACCTATCAATGATCACCTATCTATGATCATCATAGGCTACTATGATCCATCTAGGATGCTAAGATCTTCTGGGGAGGCCTTGCTCTCACTCCCACCTTCTTCACAGATGCGTCTGGCAGGGACGAGAGACAGGGCCTTCTCAGCGGTGGCCCCTCAACTGTCAAATGCCCTGCCTAGAGATATAAGATCGGCTCCCTCCCTCCTGACTTTTCGAAAAAAGCTGAAAACCTGGCTTTTTGAGCAGGCCATCCCAAATATGGCATAGTTAAATGGGATTATGGAACTATTTGATAATGCAATGGAATAACAATTTGACATGGAGATGCTCACGATAATGTGTTAAGGCTTTGTACGGTTTTTATAATTTTTCTATCATATGGTATTGTTTTTAACAGAATTTCTTGATTGTTTTTACTTGTTATAATTGTTGAAGCATTGAATTGTTGCCAATTTGTGAACTGCTCTGAGTCGCCTCTGGGCTGAGAGGGGCGGTATATAAATATAGTAAGTAAATAAATATTATTTGTGGCCAAGTATGATTGTCTTCTAAGGGTAGAGTCTTGGTAATGGGTCCACAATTACTTTTTTAAAATGTCAGGAGCGACTTGAGAAACTGCTTCTGCTGTGAGAGAATTGGCTGTCTGCAAGGACGTTGCCCAGGAGACGCCAGGATGTTTTGATGTTTTACCATCCTTGTGGGAGGCTTCTTTCATGTCCCCTCATGGGGAGCTGGAACTGACAGAGGGAGCTCATCTGCACTCTCCCCGTCAGTCTTCAGTCCTGCCGGCACAAGGGTTTAACCCCTTGTGCCACCGGAGGCTCCTGTACACAACTGACTCTAAAGACATATTCTGGATCCACATCTTTCGGAGTGAAGACATACATTTCCAGACGGAAGGCGGTTATATGTATGATTAAGTCATACCCATGAGGAATTTGCAGAGATCTCTGCAAAGGTCAATACAATTAGCACTCTTACTTGAGGCCAATAAGCACAAGCATCAAATTTGGGTGACAGGAGAAAACAAGACTGCAGCTTGCTCTTCCATGAGAATTGCTCTTCCATGAGCAATTTTCATGAGCAGCCACTAGGGGTCGCAATGGCGCAGGCAATAATAATCCTTGATCTCGTCTTTCTTGCTGAGCGAGTGAAGGGACTGCGCCTGCCAACAGGGGGCGCCCGCAGACAAGCCTGGCTCAGCCTCCTTTCAAAGGAGATGTCAGAAAGGCTGAAGTTCTGCAGACTTAGGCAACCTTTGGCCCTCCAGGTGTTTTGGACTTCAACTCCCAGAAATCCCAGTGAGCTTACCAGCTGTTTATTTATTTATTTCATGCATTTCTACCCCGCCCCCCCCCAGGGGGACTCAGGGTGGCCTCACACAAGCATCATATGATGCTATCAGCATATAAACTATCAAAATTACATGTAAAACATTAAAAATAATCAAAAGCACATTATACAATTAATTAAGCAATACATTAAACATGCCAATTAAAACCAGATCCAAGTCAGGGTAATTCCAATGTCGCAGATATCCTAAATTTCTTTCCAATTGCCACTGTCCACTAATCAAACGCCTGGTCCCAAAGCCAATCTTCATTGTCTTCTAAAGGACAGGAGGGAGGTGGCCAATCTGATGTCCTTAAGGAGAGAGTTCCACAGATGGGGGGGCCACTGCCAAGAAGGCCCTGTCACTCGTCCCCACCAACCATGTTTGCAAAAGTGGTGGGATCGAGAGCAGGGCCCCCTCTGACAATCTTAAGCTTTGTGATGCTTCATAACGGGAGATACGTAACAGGTAATCTGAGCCAGAACCATTTAGGGCTTTAAAGGTTAGGAATTTCTCCTCATTATTTGGAACGTATTGTGCCATAACACTACAGGGCGCTTTGAAATGATGCCCAGTTTCAAAGCAATATGTTTCACAATGGTAAATATTACGATACAAAAGTTTCAAAGGGTTTCATGAGTTATCAACGAATGATTTTGAGCCAAAAAAAACCCAAACCACTCCACAAATGGAGAATATCTCACCAAGCCTTGTGTCGCAGGGTTGCCATCTTCCGAATGGCTAACGCTCCAGGATGTTTGTGCGTCTAGTGGGAACCCTTTGAAACTCTATGGCCAACCTTTTCAAAGGGCGAGCATTCCAATCGTTGGCATTTCCTAATAGTAGAAATATAAGGATTTCAAACTGGGTCCATCTTTTTTAAACACTCTATATTTTGTTCGCATTGCTATTTAAATCTGACTTGCATGAACAATAGGTAAGTCTCATAAAAAGGGAATCCCAAGCAAAGTGTATAGGAGCCCCTGCTGGCGCAGTGGGTTAAACCCTTGCACCAGCAGGACTGAAAACTGACAAGTCACAGGTTTGAATCTGGGGAGAGTGCAGATGAGCTCCCTCTGTCAGCTCCAGCTCCCCATGCAGGGACATGAGAGAAGAATCCCACAAGGATGGTAAAACATCAAAACATCCGGGCATTCCCCTGGGCAACGTCCTTGTAGACAGCCAATTCCTTCACACCAGAAGTTACTTGTAAGTCACTCCTCTCAGGAATTTTTTAATATAATTTTAAATTTATCTCTATTGAATTTTGTTTTATTAATTAAAAAAAAAATAAGGTGTATGGTGAATGTGAGCAGAGTCATGGAAAGTTTACCCTGCCAACAACACAGTGTTGGGAAAACATGGGAAGAGTACGGAAGTGTGTTCTGATTCTCAAAAACTGGGTCTTACAGGGAAGAACTGGTGCCATTTTTGGAACAAGCAGGTCAAATATACCACCCAGAAACAGGGCTGACATTTGAGGCACCAAAACATGTGTCAGCCAGTGTAAACCAGCCAAAGATTTCTCAGAAATTCTGCGAGGGAGATATTACACATGTACTTAACCTGACCATTTAATTCAATCAATTAAGTTTTGGTTACCTCTTTTTCCCCTTTGGTTTGAACCCTACTGTCCACCAAACAGTGCATGCAGTTCTATAAGAAAATCTCCATCGTATTCCATAACCCAGGGGTTCTCAAACTTTTTCAGCCATGGAGCCCTTTTTAGTGCAAAAGTTTCTTGTGGAGCCCCAAGAAGTATTTATATATTATACATTATATATTATAGGTAAATGTAAAGGTTTTCCCCTGACATTAATTCCAGTCGTGTCTGACTCTGGGGGTTGGTGCTCATCTCAATTTCTAAGCCAAAGAGCCAACGTTGTCCATAGACACCTCCAAGGTCATGTGGCCAGCATGACTGCATGGAGCGCCGTTATATAATATATAATTATATAAAAATCATAATAATAAAAACTGGAAAGATGACTTAGGATATTGCAACTGGAAAGATGACTTAGGATATTGCAACATTGAATTAACCCAGATTGGATTTGGTTTCTAACTGGCGTGTTTATTTTTTTAATGAATTGTTTTAATGTATTTGTTGACTATTTATATGATGATAGCATTGTATGGTGCTTGTGTGAGGCCATCCTGAGTCCCCCTTGAGGGGGGAAGGGTGGGGTAAAAGTGTATGTAATAAAATAAATAAATAATAATAAATAAAAACTTTATTTTTGTACCCCATCTCCCTGAAGAGACTCAATATTCTCTCTCTCGCTCTCTCTCTACACATACACACACACACACATACATATATTAGGCATGGGTAAACTTTTGCATTGAACCCCCTTGGGGAGAGAGGGTGGAAGATGATGATGATGATTATTATTATTATTATTACAATCTGACAGACAGGCTGAGCCAGTGGCAGTAGAAGCACATGCGGAGAAGGGTCTGGGAAGCAAGGAAAAGATTCTGGGCAGCGAAGGAAGTGAGGGAGAAAGGGTCTGTGCCCTGGGAGGAGGATGCTATTGCTTCGGCAGCTCCAAATTTTAATTTCCTTGCATTTCTCAGGAGGAGGAGGAGGATAGAGGAGGAGGCAGGAAGCTGAATGGTGTCACGAAGCCCCTCACTATTCCTCATGGAGCCCTAAGGGCTCTGCAGAGCACAGTTTGAGAACCCTTGTCATAACCTATCAGGAGTGCTTTGATTGTGTTTTCCAGCAGATCAGATGAAGGTTGGACCGAATGGCCTTTGTGACTATTTCCAATTCTATGATTCTAGCTCGCTGACCTTGACAGTCTATATTACAAAGAATTCCCTCTTCTCTGTTATTTTCTCTGTCCTCATTTACACCTTAAAATATCTTCATGACATATGTGGACTCTGGTCACCCCCATCCACTACCTGCAGTGTTTTTCTACTCTTCTGGTACACAACATTTGTGCAACACAAACCTTGAACGCAGCCTATCCTTATTGTAAGGCTGCCTGCTTTTCAGATTGAGATTACTGTGGAGCTGCATGTGGTTTGGCAAGGTTACACTCTGACTTGGTTGCTTCTAGATCAAGCATGGTCAAATTTCGGCCCTCCAGGTGTTTTGGACTTCAGCTCCCACAATTCCTAACAGTCGGTGGGGCCGAAATTTGCCCACGTCTGTTCTAGATCAGTCCCAGTTCCTGTATTATGAAAGATGTGCCACCCGCAGTTTCCATCTGCAAGCGCAGTTTGTGTCTTCTCTGTGATGAGAATCCAGAGGCACATCCAAGGAGGGTCAGGAAATATTGGATATTTTTGGGAAAGGGAATACAATAGCTTTAAAAATCTCAATATCTTTCTTTTCTGTCTCTACAGGATCCAGAAGACACAGAGAGGGAAGTCCAAATCTAGTCTGTCAACATGGGTGAAATAGAGCAAATGAAGCAAGAGTCAGAGCAGCTGAAGAAGCAGATTGAGGTAATGCTGGGAGACACTGGGGAGAAGCCTAAACCATTGCTGTTTAAGCTGTGGGCCCCAATCAAATAAGGGGGTCCTTGGGTCCCGAAAAATTGGCAACAGTAAACAGTTTCAGAATGCCACTCATTTACACAAATCTGTTAGCAACAATATACAGTGTTTACAATGGATTCTGCAGAGAATGCTTCAGCACTACTCCACAGAAAGGGAAATCAGCCCGTTTAGCAAGCCTTGCAAATGCTGATTTATTGTCAGAAAATGTTTGACTTGTATACTTATTTTATAAACGTATATACCTGGGGTCATATGCGAGGGTTGGATGAAAAGTTATGCCTTCATCTTCATTACTTGGGTTTGAATGGGAATATTTTATTAAATCAAATGCAGAAATAATCCTTAGAATGTGCTCTTTAACTATCATTATTCCCTTTTCCACATAATCACCAGACAATTAGATACATTTCTGCAAACAAGTAACATGTTTCTGAAGCTATCACGGAAGAAGTCGACACTCTGTTTCCATAACCAGTGTCTCACAGTTCTCTCATCCTGGGTACAGATCTTCCAATAGCCCAGCAAAGCAATAATGTGACTCACACGTTCTTGTGAAATGTCGATTACGCTTGAAATTTTTGAGTGATACGATGATCATCCTGAATCAATGTCAACCTTTTGCTTGTGAAACTCAGTGGTTGCTGTCACAGRACGCCCAACTCTTTGTTTGTCACACAAGTCAGATGTTCCCACCTCAACATCTTTAAGCTTACTTGCACAACAAYGCACAGTACTCACATCAACATAATCACCATAAACAGCTTGYATTCTCTGATGAATTTCCTTTGGGGTGACACCTTCTGCTGTCAAGAAGACTGCAMRTTGCTTAAGTCGCATTGACCAACCGTCTGCACAGGGCTCCATACTTCGCACTTTAACAACACAACCATTCAATGCTAAGGTTTCCTGCCAAAATGGAACTGTAGAGGAGAGTCTACCGAACAAGCCAGTACCTGCCGCATACCAGTACTGCCATCTGTTGAGTTGCAAAGGTGGAGGCGTTACTTTTCATTCAACCCTTGTAACATTTCTCAGGTGGAAAAGGGTMATGAGTAGAAAAAGTTGAAGAAACTCTGGTTTAGACTGAGGCCTCTTCTCATTCCTGGTGCTGAGCCACAGGCCATGAGACTACCTTAAACTAGCCGTTCTATCAGCCTATAAGCTGAGTACCACTGTGATCACTTAAGGAATGAGTAGGATTACAATAAAGCAACACTTTCCTCCTACAATTTTATTCCACCTCCAACAGTTGTAACTCTTTCTCTTGTTGCAGGAAGCTCGAAAGGCTTGTGCAGACACTACACTTGCTCAGGTAAGAAGAGCTGGCAAAACTTTACCTTGCCAAGACAGAATAATAATATTTTTTTTTCTCGTGTCAGGGGCGACCTCATAAACTACAAGTAATATATAATAATTAAATAATAATAATAATAATAATAATAATAATAATAATAATAATGCTTTATATTCAGCCCTTCTCCCCGAGGGGACTCAGAGCTGATTACTGCATATAAACAGACACAGGCAAACATTCAATACCTTGTTACAATGAAATACAACGAGACACAAATAACACAGGCAAAGGCAAAGGCTTCTCCTTTCATTTCCGGCTCTGGAGGCAGTGCTCATCTCCATTTCCAAGCTGAGGAGCCTGCGTTGTCCATAGACACCTCCTGGTCATGTGGCCAGCATGACTGCATTGAGCATCTTTTTGCCTTTTCCTGCTGAAGCGGTACCTATTGATGTACTCGCATTTGCATGTTTTCGAACTGCTAGGCTGGCAGGAGCTAGGGTTAACAGCAGGAGCTCAACCCATCAAACTGCCAACTGTCAGCAGTTCAGCACTGAGCCACCTGCAGTCCCAAAAATCATCCGACACAAATCTCTAGCAAGGAGTAGGTTTTCCCAAATCATTCAACATGGTTTAGGAGAAGGGATGTTCCTCCACTATCTGCATTTGCTGGGCTAATCTTCCCTCTTCTATTCAGCTCGTCTCTGGGATTGAAGTGGTCGGGCGCATACAGATGCGCACACGGCGGACCCTGCGTGGGCACCTGGCCAAGATCTATGCTTGTCACTGGTCCACAGACTCCAAGTAAGCCTTCCCAAATCTGTTGTTTTCCAGGCATTTCAAATGAGCATTCTCTTTACACACACACACACACACACACAAAGTAAACATAGCCCCCATCAACATTGCTGTATAATCCAGTATCTAATTCCACATTATCTGCTTTGAACTGGATTGTATGGCAGTATAGGCTCATAATGCACTTCAACGCAAATAATCTGGATTCAGAAACCGGATTATATGGCAGTGTAGATCCAGCCGTAATCGGTGGTAGTGAACTATAGTTGATAAGGGCTGTTGTAATGCATGCACAATGCAAATTGTTGCTAACATTAGAAGAACATTAAGTGAACGAAGGGCACTGGGATTTATAAATCTACCTTCTTTACCATCTATTAATTTCTTTACTGTGTAAACAAATGAAGGATCAACCAACAGCAGCAGCCCTCTACACAAAACAAAATACTCGAAATCTATAAAATGGTAATTCCTTTATTGGGTCGCCACAAGACAATGGTGTCATTCTCATGTGGATTTCAGGATGACACCGATGACTATATGTTTTAATGGTTTTATATAAGTTTTATATTGTTATGTTGATTGTTAGTTAAATATACTTTTATGAATGCATGGCATCGCAGTTATGCCAACTTGTAACCTGCCTTGAGTCGCCATATGGTTGAGAAAGGCAGGCTTTAAATATCATAAATAAATACGATAAATAAATTTCATCAGATAGTATGCAAGGTGCAGGCATAACCATGTTGGTGTGATTGACAGGTGGTGCCTTCAAACCCTATTCAGCACAGCCATACTAACATGCTTCTGCTCCTCTCCCTTAGGCTTATGGTCAGTGCCTCACAAGATGGAAAGCTCATCGTGTGGGACACATACACAACCAACAAGGTAAGGGCTTCTTACACAGGTAGGTAGATATTCTACCTGCCAGAAATACCACAAAGGAAAGTCTGAGAGCTAACGGCATGTCATCCCGCAGTCTTACTTTCCTGTCCATTCAAGTCCTACCAATTCTTTCTTTCTTTTCCAACGTTTCTTTCTTTCTTTTCCAATGGAGTCCAAACTCACTTTGGATTTCCGCCCTCTCCTCTGAACTCAGGTCCATGCCATCCCTCTACGCTCCTCCTGGGTCATGACCTGTGCCTATGCCCCATCAGGGAATTTCGTGGCCTGCGGAGGTCTCGACAACATGTGCTCCATTTACAACCTCAAGAGCCGTGAAGGGAACGTGAAAGTCAGCCGGGAACTCTCGGCCCATACAGGTGAACATTTCAGCCAGGGCGGTGGGCATTCAACTATCCAATGCAAGCTTGGAAAGCCTGTAGGTCACAAGGTACAATCTCAGAAGCCAGAGACCAAGTTGTTGTGGGGCTTACTGTTCCTCCACATGACTAGCAGATACAGGATAAAGTACCGGCATAATAGAAAAAAATTGGTAGATTTATGTAACATAAAATAAATATGCATCCTGGGTTGCTGTGAGTTTTCTGGGCTGTATGGCCGTGTTCCAGAAGCATTCTCTCCTGACGTTTTGCCTGCATCTATGGCAGGCATCCTCAGAGGTTGTGAGACCGCAAAACCTCTGAGGTTGCCTTCCTGCTATAGATGTGGCTGAAACTTCAGGAAACAATGCTTCTGGAACATGCCCATACAGCCCGAAAAATTCAGAGTAACCCAGTGATTGAGTCCCTTTCGGGGTAGAGAAAGGCGGGGTATAAATAGAGTAAGTAAGTAAATAAATAATGAAAGCCATCGACAACTATATGCACCCTGTCCAGTTTTGTGCTAGCCTAAAACCCATGAAGTCATAAGGAGTTGGAAGCGACTGAACAAATAAACAACAAAAAACCCGAGGGACAATTGGTTGCACTCTCTCAGGCTAGATATAGGTTACTATATAATCCAGTTCCTAAATCCAGATTATCTGCTTTGAACTGGATTGTCTGAGTCTACACTGCCATATAATCCAGTTCAAAACAGGTAATCTGGATTCAGGAACTGGATTGTATGCCAGTGTAGATAGAATCTCGGACATTATGTTAGTGTCGTCCCGGGTGCAGCCAATTGGTCCATGAGCATAAATATTTTCCCCACCACCTTTTCATCTAGCAGACGGAGGGTTATTTGGCTGTTGTGCAAGAGCTGATTTTAAGCCTTTGGTGCAATTGGTAGCGAACTGGGGTATCCAGCATAACCAGTCTAGTAGGACCATGATGCATGCTAAAATGTGTATAGTTTGGGCTTTTATGCATATAATGTTTTCTCTCCTCAATAATAATCACTTTCTGTTATAGGCTACCTCTCCTGCTGTCGATTTCTGGATGACAACAATATTGTGACCAGTTCTGGAGACACTACATGGTAGGTCTATCCACCCAGTGTGTGGGAATGAAAAAAAATGGCAGCCGGGGGGGGGGGGGGGGGGGGGGCGATACATGTTTTCCCAAACTTTTTTAAAATGGAGAAATGGTTTACAGGATATTTTCTTTTAAGTGATGTCCAACATATTGAAAAACTATATAGCAGGTGCGTTACTAGGTAAGACTGTGTACAGTACGATAGTTCCCTTTCTTATAATTCTTGGTTTTAGTTTCCTTCTCATAGGAATTAATCCACATAGCACTATGGAAGACTAGAGGAGACAAGATAATTGCTTTTGCCTTAATAATGTTGATGGTTTCCTCTGTACTTTTTTTGTTTTGTGTTTTTTTGCCTGTCCTTCTTCAGTTCAAATTTTTTCCACACACAAAACCCCTTGAAAAACACATCTTTTCCTGTGTCTTCAAAGTTTCTGGAAATGTTACATCGACATCATAATTTTTATCAGAGTTATCCTCCCTTAACTGAATAAATGAATCCTTTGTCATATATCCAGGTATTTTTATTACTTCTTTCCATGCCTTCCCATAGTTATCCTGATATAAATTAATGTCTTTGTTAGTTATCCATATTCCTAAATACTTAAATTTACTTGTGACCTTACATGCTGAAACGCTGTCCAATATTATTTTTTTGAAAGATTTTTAGTTAAAAACATCTTTATGTATTTTAAAACCTGACACACTTCCTTACTTATTAATTATTCCCATCAAATTTGGTATGCTCTTTATAGGATCTTCTGTAATGACAGCCATGTCATCTACATATGTCATAACTTTAAATTCTTGTCCTTTTATTTTCACTTCTTTGATATGTCAATCTTCTCTGATCTTAATATTTAATACTTCTAGTGTCCATATAAACAGAAGGGTAACAGTGAGCAATCTTGTCTGGTTTTCTTTTTGTATTTCTATTCAGTTTGACAGTTGGCAATTTGTCCTTAGTCTTGCTTTTGGTTAGAGTATATTGCACCCACACCGCATTTCTAAATTGCTGGCCCATCACATATTAAGACAAAACTTTTCCCATAAATTCCCAATGGACATTATCAAACACTTTCTCAGCATCAAGAAGTAAGAATGCAATCTCTCTATTGGGATCTTGTTCAGCTATATCTATTATGTTTAAAATAGTTCTCACATTCTGATTTAGCTGTCTGCCTGGGAGGAAGCCTGCTTGGTCTTTTTAAATAATTTTAACCAAATTTATTTTTAATTTATTTGCTAAAATCTCTGCGAATAGTTTATAATCACAATGTAGTAACAAGATTGGCCTATAATTTGCCACATGTTCTGCATCTCTATCCTGTTTTGGGATGAGAACTATATTCACCTCCACCCAAGAGTCTGAGACCTCACCTTTCTGCGGCACTTTGTTCATTACTGATAGCAGGATTGGGGCCTGTTCTTCTTTATATTCCTTGTGATACTTGGCTGAGAATCCATCTGGGCCAGGAGCTTTATCTATTTTAGCTTTATCAGTAACCACACCTAATTCCTCCAACGTGATTGCTTTATCTAATTCTAAATTCATTTTCTCCGAGAGCTTTGTAAACTTCATATCCTCCATATATTGATCTATCTTTTTAGAATTAGTCTGGGAATTTTTGTATAAATCCTGTAATAATCTTCAAAACCTTATGAATACTCTGTGTATCAGTGATTGTTTCTCCCTTATTTCTTATTTTAACAATTAGTTGTTGCTTCATATTTTTCTTCAGTTGTCATGCTGACAGTTTCCTTGGTTTATCTGCATTTTCAAAAAATTATGGCTATTGTACATAATTTTCATTTCAACCTCATTCACACTTAACAATTCATATTGCTATTGTAAATTAGCCAGTTCTTGTTGCAATTTCCCCTATTTAATTTGTTATTCTCTAATTCTTTTTTAGCTCTAATCTTAACAAAAAATCTCCACCTGTATATTATATTTCTCTTTGTACAACCTAATATTTTGTTGTATTAATAAGTCTCTAACCACTGCTTTCCTGTGTCCCAGATCAATTTTCACCCATCTCATTCTTTAAATTCTCTTTTAAGTATATTTTATTCTCGTCCTAATCGTTTCTTCAATTCTATGGTCTTTGATTCATTTCCCACATTTTCCTTTCCCACTGTCCACTTTTTAGATTTAGTAACACCCGGTTGTGATCAGAGAACAGTCTTCATAGTATTGCCTTTTTTCATTATTTATGACCAACCATTTTGTTACGAAGATATAATCAATTCTGGATGATGTACCATACCTGTGAGAGTACTATGTATGTTCTAAAATCTTCCAAAATTGCATAAATTCCAAATGTCATAAAGCTCCAACTATTGTTACTCTCCTATAAGCAACCATGGAAGTCTCCCTTCTTTTGTGTCTTTTTCCTTTTAAAATTCCTATCCAATTTTGGGTCCATTGCCCCACTGAAATCTCCCAACCAGATCATTTCACTCCCTCCATATTCTGCCAAAATAACTGTTTTTTATTTTTTTAAAAATGTTTCACATTTGGTGTATATATTCCCATGAGTAAAACCTGTTTATAATGCAGTTTCACTCTAACAATTAAAATCCTACTCTCTTGGGTCTTCATAATTTTTTTCTAGATTTTAAAAAAAGAAAACGGTACACCATTAGTTTTCTTATAATTACAAGCCATAAATAGTTGACCTAACTTTTCTTGTTTCAAGAGATGTGTATCTTTGTCCAGTATGTGCAATTCCTGCAAGTATGCTATATCCAACTTCATTTTATACCTTATTTCGTTTAAACCTGTTGTTCATTTCATTAACTTTAAGAGACATTATTTTTAATTGTTGGACATAATCCAATTAATCTCTACCCTCTCTATTCTGGCAACCTCTCAGATGGCCATCTGTCAGGGGTGATTTGAATGCAATATTCCTGCTTCTTGGCAGGGGATTGGACTGAATGGCCCATGAGGTCTCTCCCAACTCTATGATTCTATGATTCTATGATAGAAGGATCTTCAAATAAAACCAGAAAGAACAGAAACAAATATGGGACTTTTTAATCAGTCTGATGTGGACTTAGCATGTCATTAAATGAGAAAGAACAGGAACAAAATCTGGGAGTTTTTGGTCAGTCTAGAACTGCCCTCAAACGGTTTTATGGTTACGAAACCAAGACATGGCATTCTTAGGTCTAGAGTTGCTGATTTTATTTCCTATATAGTTGTAGTTACGTTTGTGTGCTTGTTCTCGATTTGTTGGCTGACTCAACTCCTGTTCTAAGCCAAGGTGTTCTTAAAGAAGTGTTTGAAATATGCAGTGTGTATAAATACAAAACCTTAGACAAGTACACATCCCGATCAGATGAAGCCTTGAGTTTCTGAGTGCCTGATGCCTTCCTCCTCCTCCTTCCCACAGTTGCCTCTGGGACATTGAAACCGGACAGCCGAAGACAACCTTCGTAGGCCACACTGGCGACTGCATGAGCCTGGCTGTCTCCCCAGACTTCAAGCTCTTCATCTCTGGGGCCTGTGATGCCTCGGCCAAGCTATGGGACGTCCGGGAGGGAACGTGCCGCCAGACGTTCACGGGACACGAATCGGACATCAACGCCATCAGCGTAAGTTTCCTTGATAGGCCAGGGACCACCCCTAGATTGGAGGGTGGGCTGTGGCTAGGTCACGTCTGGAGGTAAGAGGTACCAGGAATGGAAGACACTGAACTGTAGGCTAGGCAGGACTTGTTTGTCCTCTCTGTGCAGTTCTTCCCCAACGGTGAGGCCATCTGTACTGGCTCTGACGATGCCACCTGCCGCCTCTTCGACCTCCGAGCAGACCAGGAGCTCATTACCTATGCGCATGAGAGCATCATCTGTGGAATCACCTCAGTCGCATTCTCCCGCAGCGGCCGCCTCCTCCTGGCTGGATATGACGACTTTAACTGCAACATCTGGGATGCTTTAAAAGCAGAGCGTGTGGGTGAGTAGTCCTCAGATCCACAGCTCTAGTCATGCATTCCTGCCTCTTTCTCAGAAGAGTCAGCTCAAAAACAAAGGTCTTTCTCCCAATATGTCAGTTTTCAATATACAGTGCAGCAGTGGTATTTGAGAGGAAAGAACTGCCACCTCCTTCCTCCCGTATTATTAATGGGAGGATGTTCTGGATGTTCCAAGCATCCCTGCCATGCTTGTTTAGGTGAACAATGGCTGGAGGGAATCCGCTTTCAACAGGTCTGCTAAAACTTTGAGAATTCCCAGCGTAGAGAGATCTCCAGTGCTTACCCCAAATTCTTTTTATTCAGATTAAAGGGAGAAGAATGAAGACATTGTAACAAAGTGTATGATTTCCTGCTGCTTTCTTTACGTTTGGATTTTAGTTTACTTTCTATTACATTTTAACCACCATATTACCTTATATTGTTAAAGATTTTCACAGCCATAATCACCGGGGTGTTATGTGGTTTCCGGGCTGTATGGCTGTGTTCTAGCAGCATTTTCTCCCAATGTTTCACCTGCATCTGTGGCTGGCATCTTCAGAGGATCTGATGGTAGTCAAGCAAGTCACATATATATACACCTGTAGAATGTCTAAGATGGGAGGAAATAACAATTGCTTGTTAAAGAAATGTAAAGAAGAGCAGTAAGCAAGCAAGATTTTTTGTATGTGTTGAGTGGGATCAATCCATTAGCAAGTTAGAAGGGCATCTGCATGGAAGTAGCCAGGCTATTTTTTCCCTTTGAATTGTTGGATGCCTAGGGGCATCCTTTGTCTGGGTGAGGTTCACTAGCCCTTGATTGCTTACTGCATGGAGAATGTCTGGGTGGTGTTCAAGACAGTTAAGACAGCAACTAATGCTGACAAACTATAGGAATCATACCTCAGAAGATATGACCATAGTCTCTGGGGTGAAGACAAGTCTACTCGGAAGATTGCTCTTGATTTAGAAGTGCCTGGCAAGATACCAAAAGAATGACTGAAGCAACACTGGTTGGACACACTGCACAATGACCTGAGAACTGTTGCATACACCCTGATCAGGTGTATGAAATTATTCATAATTATGAAATTATGACTGTATGAAATTATTTATTTATTTATTTATTTAAAGCATTTACTGCATATACTCGAGTATAAGTCTAGTTTTTCAACCCCTTTTTTAGGCTAAAAAAGTTCTCCCCGGCTTATACTTGAGTCAAGGTTATTTATTATTTTATTCTGTTATTAGTATTATTTTTATTACATTTATTATTTTACTCTATTTATTATTATTATTATTATTATTATTATTATTATTATTATTATCTTTATATTCTTTTTACTGTACTATTATTTTATTACGTTTATTATTTTACTCTATTACTGTTATTAAATTTCCATTATTTACTCTATTATTATTATTATTGCATTTATTACTTTACTCTCTTTATTATTATTGGAAGGATACGTAAGCACATTGACATTGAAGAAGATTAGAATAATGGTTTCATCAGAGTTGAATAGTCTTATTTTAAATTACAGTTTTATGTAAATACACAAAAACATTCAACCTACTGATGATTTTCAGTAGCAGCTACATTTTTCACCCTTGGCTTATACTCGAGTCAATACATTTTCCAAGTTTCTTATGGTAAAATTAGGTGCCTCGGCTTATATTCGGATCGGCTTATAATGGAGTATATACAGTATATTCCACCCTTCTCACCCCGAAGGGGACTCAAGAGCGGATCACAGATTACATACATGGCAAACATTCCATGCCATTAGACATACAGGACAGACAGACAAATAGAGGCATGTGTCTTGGCATTTTTCCAACTTTGGTGTCCTGGAGGTTATGCTCGATTCTGGCCACAGGGGGGTGCTGTCACTCCATCCTCTATGATGACAAGCCTTTTAGATCATAGACTTTCCTCCTATTATTTGATTGCCAGCTTTTTTATGGTGCTGTAAAATATCTCCCAGCTTAAGTGGTGCCTAATTTTTCTACTCACAGCTACAGCTGTCTCCAAACTGCTTAAGTGGACAGTAGGCTGAAGGTTGGGTGCTCACTCAGGCCTGGGCTCAAACTCACAACCTTTCAGTTGGGGAAGATCTATTGATGCTGGTGATTAACCAGCTGTGCTAAAGCCTGACCAACAAACCAGTAAAGCGCCCACAAACCAGTAAAGAGGCCCACCATCAAGTGGGACAAATGCTGAAGAAGAAGACAGTGACTAATGAACTTGTTTGACTACCACCAGATCTTCTGAAGATGTCAACCACAGATGCAGGCGCAACATCAGGAGGAAATGCTGCTAGAACATGGCCATACAGTCTAGAAACCACACAACATCCCATTACATTACCTGCCTGCTATTGAGATATGTTAATCTGAAACGTGAATACTGCTTTTTGTTTTCTCTCCTGTTCAGGAATCCTGTCTGGGCATGACAACAGGGTGAGCTGTTTGGGAGTTACTGCAGATGGCATGGCCGTGTCTACTGGCTCCTGGGACAGCTTCTTGAAAATCTGGAACTGAAGATGAAGCGAGAGAAGATAACAGGGAGCCCTCCCCAGGCATATTATATATTGAGTACAACTACTACTATTACTGACATTTCTGCTTGTTCTATGCAGACCTAACAGCCCAAAAGACACTTCCCTACCTAAAGGAGAAACTTGGAGAAAGGGTTCGCTCATATAGGCCAAGCTTCCCCAAGCCCTCTCCCTTTCTCCCTGCCCCAACTCAGGGGTCCCTCGGGACTGTGGCTGCTTTCAAGGTGATGCCTCAGTGAGACGGGGCCTCCTAGTTGCCCTGCCAGCTTCCTTCACATGAAGGTACAAGGCACAATGAGATCCCAAACAGCGTTCTAAGACACCTGCATCAAGAGGCTCTCTGGTCCCCAGTTTAACTCCCTCCAGGATATATAGCAAATTTCAGTCACATGGCCTTGTGAGGCTACTACAGCTAGGCTTCTGCATTGATCTTTATTTACTCTTTCTTTCAAATAAGGGCAAGGGAATGATTTAGCTCACTGCTTTAACCTATACATTGCACAGGGGAGGATTGCTGCCCGGTCTTGAGCACCAGAGCCAGGGAGAGGTTCATGTAATCCTATTTATTGTCTGCCTGTAGCCATCCCTTCTCACACCACCCTAGAATTCCTCGCCCATTATGTACTGTTTATGCTTCCTACACCATCATTCTTTTGGTTCCCTTTAGCCACTGCTTTGAGATGTAACTGTATCATACAGGAGTTTTATAGCCCAAGCAAAATAAAGTTGACACATAAGATGGACTGACTCAAGATTCATCTTTGGGGAAATTTTGCCAGGAAAGCCAGTATAAAACTATTAAGACGTTATCAAAGTTTGAGGACCGTAGCATGGGCTCAAGGCTGATAAGGTGAATAGGGCTGGGAAGGCCCCATTCTGTGTTTCTATTTTCAAGGGCAGAGAACTTAGTATTGGAAATTCCATAATCTAGTGGAAATAAGTGCAGCATAACCTTATTGAAAAGGTAAAAATGATGTCACATCCATTTGACAAATGTGAATCTCCATGAACATGTGGAAACCACCTTTTGACAACCACTAGTTAAGAAAAGCATGACCTTGTTAGAAGTCAACCCTTTGAACAAGTGATATTCACAAGCACACAGGGAACTCAGCTGTTAAACTGAATAACCATGTCTTTAAACTGCCAAGGATAAAGACATGCCACTACAAAAATATATTGGTTAGCAGTGAATGATTGTTTCTTTGAAGATGAATTTGCGGTTGCAATTGCCCAAAATATAAACACTCCCTTGAAGGTAAAGGTTGCCCTCTGACATTACGTCCAGTCGTGTCTGACTCTGGGGTGTGGTTCTCATCTCCATTTCTAAACCAAAGAACTGGCGTTGTCCATAGACACCTCCAAGGTCATGTGGCCGGTATGACTGCATGGTGCGCCGTTACCTTCCCGCTGGAGCAGTACCTATTGATCTACTCACATTTTGTATGTTTTTGAACTGCTAGGTTGGCAGAAGCTGGGGCTGACAGTGAAAGCTCATGCCACTCCCCAGATTTGAACCTGCGACCTTTCGGTCAACAAGCTCTGCAGCTCAATAGTTTAACCCACTGTGCCACCGGAGGCTCCCTTGAAACCTCTTGTTTAAAACATGCACTCAGAGATAAAAACTAAGTTTTCTTGAAAAATAACACAGGAAGGAAGTCTTGTTTACTAACAAACTTCTTGTATATATTCAGCACACTAGTCCATAGTCCAATGTCTTTAAGCATATAGATATAGTCAAAACTGTAAACTATACTCACTGAAGTCTGAAAAGGAGACAAACTGCATCCACCTCCACTGAGGTCAAAAAGCATACTGTATAACAGAAATGGAGTCTTGTGTCTGCACATGCTCAGTATAATCACATGTCTATAACCCCTCCCACACCAGAGGTCAGTCAAACTGGGAAATCAACATACACATACAATATAGGTTAACAATTATACACATTTATAAACAGTTAGTGGAGGCTTGAAGGTTGCTATTTCCAACACATAGTTATTTTAACAGCAGCAGAGAATGAAGTGTTTTGTGATCCTCACTTCCCTAAACATAATGATTAGGGTACTGCAGAATTCAGTTTCTTGGGGCAAAAGAGAGGACTGAGGATTTACTGCTGCTTTCTCACACTTGTCCAGCATATGTGCATAGAAAAGAGAAATAGATTAATCAATTGAAACTTCAATGTGCATCAGATTTAGAAAAACTTTCAGTGCTACTGTGACCACATTTCAGCACTGCACTCAAGTTGCCACCGGTCTCATTCATACACCTAATCCAGGGGTCCTCAAACTAAGGCCCGGGGGCTGGATGCGGCCTTCCAAGGTCATTTACCCGGCCCTCACTCAGGGTCAACATAAGTCTGAAATGACTTGAAAGCACACAACAACAATAACAACAACAACAATTCTATCTCATCAGCCAAAAGTAGGCCCACACTTCCCACTGAAATACTAATAAGTTTGTATTTAAAATTGTTCTTCCTTTTAATTATTGTATTGTTTTTAAGTGTTTTTTGCACTACAAATAAGATATGTGCAGTGTGCATAGGAATTCATTCATGTTTTTTCAAATTATAATCCGGCCCTCCAACAGTTTGAGGGCCTGTGACCTGGCCCTCTGTTTAAAAAGTCTGAGGACCCCTGACCTAATCAAACCGTCACCTGCTGTGTGTGCTTGTAAGTCCCATTTCTCACATGCTCTACCCTTTATAGTACAAGTGTTATATTTGCCAAGCTCCATTAGTTACCAAATTTCAACAAATTGAAGAAATACTAAGCAAGGGCAGTAAGTTAGCCACTAAAAGCATGTAACATTTGCCACTTTTGGAAGGAAGGGGAAGTTTGTTTCCCTTTCCTAATTATACTCCACTAAATAGGAAACAGTAAGTAAAGGTTTCCCCTTGGCATTAAGTCTAGTTGTGTCTGACTCTGAGGTGTGGTGCTCATTTCCATTTCTAATCTGAAGAGCTGGTGTTGCCCGTAGACACCTTGTGGCCAGCATGACTGCATGGAGCACCGTTATCTTCCCGCAGAAGCGGTACCTATTGATCTGCTCACATTTGCATATTTTTGAACTGCTAGGTTGGCAGGAGCTGGGCCTAACAGTGGGCGCTCACTCTGCTCCCCAGATTAGAACCGTCAACCTTTTGGTCAGCAGCTGAGCACTTTAACCCACTGCACCACCGGGGCCCCCAGAAACAGTAAATAATCCTAGAAAATAAACATTTATTTTGGATCAGTTCCAATTCCTAGATTACTTTTGAACTCTGTTATCCGAATGCATCTTTACAACCCTATACATATTCTCTCTTTAAGATTTTAACCAAAGCATTTCAATTACAGGATCACTCCAGACATCACATGAAACCACAGTTTGCTCTCATTACAGTATAAAATGCTGAAACATTCTATTGTTTCAGCATCATGCTCATGTTTCTATTATGTAGGTATGGTTTACAAATTGAGTTATTAGCCCAGGCCATGACCAGTACAACCTATCATTCATAAATACCTTCAAGTCATAGCTTACACCTATGCTTTGTCAGCTGATTGCAAAAAAAAAGTTTGTTCAGACATCACCTCAAAAGGTTTTCACTTTTGTATGATTGCTGAGCCACGGTGGTGCGGCGGGTTAAACTGTTAAAACTGCAAAATTTTCTGACCGAAAGGTTGACAGTTCAAATACGGGGAACGGGGTGAGCTCCCACTGTTAGGCCCAGCTTCTGCCAACTTAGCAATTCAAAAACATGCAAATGTTGGTAGATCAATAGGTATTGCTTCGGCAGGAAGGTAATAGTACTCCATGCAGTCATGCCAGCCACGTGATCCCAGAGACATCTATAGACAACGCTGGCTCTTCGGCTTAGAAATGGAGGTGAGCACCACCCCCCAGAGTCAGACACGACTAGACTTAATGTCAAGGGGAAACCTTTACCTTTATGACTCCTGAATGTTTTTATTGCAGCAAGTCTGGATTATACGTATTACATTCCATACCATTATGCAAACAGATTAGGCAGATAGCAGGATGCTTACAATGCCCTGATTAGTTTGAGGTCTGGGCAAGATTTAAGGTTCCTGCCTAGCTTATAGATGACTTTTCTCAGCAGCAAGCTGCAAAAGCCCATGTGTCACCTCAGGGCCCCCTAATAATCCTGCTGTTTCCATACCTTTTCCATCCAAACGGAAATTCATAGAAAAGGCAAAAAGGAAGATGTCCCTTGATATGACACAAGATGTGATGTGGGTGACACTTCTGAGTGCAATAGCAAGGAAGTTGAATGACTAGCACAGAACCAATTCCCCTACTTTGTAGCAGATATTAAAGGCTTCTCTCAAGAAACCAATTAAGTGTGTAGCAAAATAAAAAAATAAAAATGCAGATTACACATTTGGATTTTTCTTATAAGAGTCTAAAGCAAGCGTGTGCACACACACACAGAGTCTCTACTACTTGTTTAAAAGGTAAGATAGTATTCCTCAGGAGCTTTCAGGGGAGCAGTTTGATCACATGGGATGATCTTTTCTCTCCCTCATTTCATCTCCACATTCTTTCCTCCATTTTGTGAAGAACTACTACTCCTATGATATTTGTCAAAGCACACAGGTTTGAATCAATTCCCCCTAAGTACTGATCCATAGCCCGCCCAAAGCTGCAGAATAGCATGGAATAAGATGATGTCTTATTACAAAGTCAAGTTTATTTTCCAGACAGACAACACAGAAATTTGGCAGTAAAGGAAAGTTATTTAAAAAAGCTAAATACAAGATCTGTACATAATTAAACAAATACAATACTAGTGAGGAAAGGAATATATAGACTACAGTACTTCCTGCCTTGTCTAGGACAGAACTGGCAAGCCAAGCGGCAAAGGAGGCAAAGTCTGGATACCATATCTCCATCTGTACACTTTGGAAGCTTCCTTGCCAGAGGGCAGTATTCACTGGAGCCTCTGAGAGTTACTAGTTTTCCAGCAAATGCTGCCGCTGATTCTCCTTGTTGAAGGAAGGCCGGTTACAGCCACCTGCTTTGAGGATCCTTCCAGAGTTGAACATTCCCTCCTTGAGTTCCACTTGGCCATCCGCTACTGATAAACCCCTTTTACTCTGAAGAAAAGAGAAAATAATGTCAGCATCAGAGATAGCTAATGCATTACCTGTACTATCTGATTCACTTGAGCCATAAAATAAAGATGTCAGAAATATTCAAAATTAACTAGGTGTTTTAAATTACAAAAATGCGAGTCAAGCACTGAAAGGGTTAAATGGATGCAATGACTCAGCAAAAGCTGCTGTTCAATATAAACAGCTGTGCCTGAAGCTTAGTTTCCCTCAGTATGAAAGCCTCAGTATGAGTAGGCCTCAGTGTTAGTTCGCCTCAGTCTGAGAGAGCCTTCAGTGTTAGTAGGCCTCCGTATGAGTAGGCCTGGTGTGTGAGAAGCTTTGGTAAGAAAAGCCCCAGGTTGAAAACCATCATGTGTAAAGGCTGCTGTGTGTACAAAAGCTACTGTGTGAAGCTTCAGTGTGAGAAGAGGCTCTGTGAGAGTGAATCTATTTACATGCATGGAAGAGAAGCCCAGGAAGGAAGTATAAAGAACTTTATTTGTGTTATGGAAACCTGGTTCTTGTAAATAGTGCAACTGTATGATTTTACTACAAAGAAAAGCCTCCTATGGAAGATATAACATTGGTCTGTTTTTGTTCTTTTTATCACTTTGGGCTACTGGTGCAGGGTCATGCTGCTGCTAATAGTTACTCTACTGTGTATTTATGAGGAGGGTCTTTTGTTAATAAGCCCACTCGCCCAACAGGAGTAATCTTGCTTTAGGAATACTCTACCAAAAAATGTTGCTTTTTGCTGGGGAACTATATAGGGTGAGAATGGGAGTGTTCTGGAGATGAAAGACACCTGTTTCTTTCTGGGGTACAGTTGTGGTGATAAGATTCCATCCCCATCCAAAAGAGGTTGTTAACATGTGCTATGAACATATTCACAGAAGAAATTAACAGCATCCCTTGGGAAGACATGAGATGGAGTCACTGTTTCAAGTGACTTCAATACAGTTCGGTTTTCCCTTTTCCCTCATGAATAGCTTTCCAAACATTTCATGTTATTGATAGACCATTTTCACCATGCTTCATGTCACAACACAATAATTCAATTTTACTAGCAAACTGGAAGATAAACCAATGCCTTAAAAGAAATGGACACATCCATAAACTATAATAATGAAAATGTATAGGGAAACAACCTATCTCATGAAAACTTTTCATTTATATTTTAAAATATATGATTTTCTGCTTATATTTCACACACTCAGAGGTTTTCAGTTACACTACAGATAACCCACTAACGTGTTGCAATACAGTTTGGAAAGATCTGCCCTAGTGTTTTCTCACTCTAGCAGAAATAATTAGCTTCCAGAATGGAAGCAAACACACACTGCAGTCAGATAAGCCTCATATGGCAAAAAGTTGTGAGGGGCTCAACAGATAAAGGAGGATTCTTATTCTGTCTCTTATTCTTACACTGTCTCTGAGAGAAGGGATTTAGTTTTTGCCACAGAATGCTTTTGGAAGCATTCACTTCAGCAGTAGAAAGGGAGTGAGAAGGGGTATATAAGTCTAGGCAAAACTATACTGAGAAGCTTCCAGCTACTGGCTCCATCCTCTGCTTCCTCTTCCCTCCCCAAATAATGCTAACTATTCCTTGGCAACACTGCCCAGGAGTACCTGCCGCCATGGAGGAATAGAAGCCAGGTGAGGAGATAAAAAAACAGATTTCTGGATTTTTGAAGGCTGGCATGGTTGGTTTCTAGAGACTGAAACATACTATAGAAACTACCCCAAGTTTCTTAGAGAAAAGTCACAATATAAATCTATTTAATAAGTAAAGAAATAGTATAATAGTATATGAGCCCCATCAGGGAAATAGGGCAGAATATAAATAAAGTTTATTATTATATAGGATTGTCAATATCCAGTGGTCCTTCTAAGAATAAGGACTAATCTTATTCATTTGTATTTTTCCACCAAACTGCATAATCTTGAGGAAACCTCTGCTCAAATTGAGCTGGGAGTGTATTTTTTGGCATCAAATGTAGTATGTCATTAAATCATTGAATATGAAATGAGATCAATGCTTCATAGATACCCTATGTGAATGGCTGTAAAGCATGTATTGAAAATAGTGATAAGATACATTATAGCTCCAATTAGAGCAGAATTCAAATTTGATGATGAAAGGATTGGAACAAGCAAAATAAAATGAACACTAAGAATATGGCAACTGACTATATCACCCAACCCACGTGAAAGGACTTGTTTTAAAAGGCCTGAAGCTTTTCAAACATGATTGCTCTTACAATATTTAGAGGCTCAAAGATATTGAGGAAAGGGAACCCTCTAGCTTTGCAGTCAGCAGAAGAATAAGAACTCTTCTCCTGAAACAATACAATACCTGATGAGGAAGAAGGGCACTTGGGGAATTGTCATCCTGCAGGATGCTCAGGGGAGGCCGCCCAGCACCTGTTGACACTGTCCGCATTTTGTTGTTCACCCTGCGTCTCGTTGGCTTGACCCCTTGGAAAGGAAACAGCAAAAATTAAGGGCACTGGACCACACAGCACATCTCAACACGCAAGTCAAAGAGCTTTGGTGCAGGTCCTCATATCCTTATTTCTTAGCCATGCAGCCCTGTCCTCACACCCACCCACCATAAATCTGGCAAATGCAGCCAGAGAAGCTGGATGAATTTTGCTGTATCCAGTAACAGGCCATTTGAATTGCGATCCTGATTTTTTACTCTTGGACACAGCCCAGGGAAGGATCATTGGCCTCATATTTTATTGTAAAGATACCACTCCTTTGGGGCCTCTAGTTAATGCAACAGGGTATACCTTATTTCACAGAAGTAGACTGCTTATGCTATCTGGAATTTATTTCCCATCTCCCTACCACACTACAGATGGTCATATTGACAGGCATACTTTCCCCTCCAATTTTCTGTCTTTCCTCAGGGACTCTGACTATTTAGAGGGAAAATAACATAACAATTAACCCAAGGATCAGGTAAGCACCTGCAGGAGGAAGGGCACTGGTGAGAGGAGCTGGCTTGGCTACAGCTGCAACACTGGTGGGAGGACGCTCATTTTTCTCTTCTTCTGCCCCTAGAGGATCCCCCTGTGAGACTTCCACACACTTGGTCTCTTCTGAGGCCACTTCTGTCACAGACTTCATGTCAGGCTTCTGGACCTCGTGATGAGACTCCTCCAGGGACAGTTTCTCCTCCATGTTTTCTGTTAGAAAGGCTTCGCTGAGCTGCTTCACTGGGGAGCTCAGGACATCTGAAAGGGAGGCAAACCCAGAACAGAGAGTACTCATGTGAGATCTCATACTGGCAGTAATATCTTAGTACAGAGAGAACCTCACTTTCAGCCCCAAAATTCACTGCTAGGGAGTATATCAAATAGTCAATTAAAAAATCCCAGGAATGTCAGCAAGATATGTACCAGAAGATTGGGTTGTTGAGGATCTGTTGCCCTCTCCTGACCCTAAATGGGCAATGGACAAGAGCAGCTGCCCAATTCCTGCCCCTTGGTTCATATGTCAGAAAACGCAGGTAGGCTGAGCAGTCAAATAAGAGAATGGAGGTACCAGTCCTACAATAGCACATTCACAAGATTACAAATTATCTTAGGCTCCTTCCACACAGCTGAATAAAATCCAACATTATCTGCTTTGAAGTGGGATATATGGCAGCATGGACCCATATATTTTGGGATTTTCTGCCTTAATATTCTGGGTTATATGGCTGTGTGGAAGGCCCTCAGAGTCAAAGATCAATATATTTAGCAAAGATGCTCCCCCAAGTAGTGAACGATGCCTGCCTTCAACTATGATTCTGGATTTAGTGTGCTTTGTTCCAAATTATGATAGGATTAGCTTAAATTGTATATCTGCCTGTTGAAGCACAAGATGACCAGCGCGCTGTAAGAGCCTCTGGATTTGTAGTGGATTTGGAGTGGAGGTGCCACCCCAAAATACTGCTATGTTTGTGAAGCAATGGAAGAAGCCTTGAGTAACTGCCTTTTATACAAACTGTCCCATGGATCCCTCTGGTTGGAAAGATAGAGGAGAAACCTAGCAAAGTGAATGGTTCAGGAGAACAGGACATGTAATAATAATAATGATAACACTTTATTTAGAGACCGCCCTAATTCCCCAAGGGGACTCAGGGCGGTTTACACACAAAAAGGCAAACATTCAATGCCCTAAAACAAATGCAAACACTTCAGAACAATGCAAATAATACAAAATAACAACTTAAACGTATAACAAAAATCATTATCAAAATAATAAACAAAATACAAATAATCAGATAATTTTCATGAGAAAAATATAATTCACAGGAAAAAGCAATTGTGTTGGAAAAAGTTGAAGCCCTACAATTGCGAGACTGTTAACAAGATCTTATGGAGATTTCTGGTGTATGGGGTCACCTTAGGCTAAAGCTGTCCTAACAACATGACACAGTACTAGTGCCAGAACTTGCATACACTATTTTTATACCTTTTAGGTTGGTGTAATAAAGGTATTACAGGTGGTTATGAACAAGATAGGTTCTGTAGGTTTGTTCTTAAGTTGAATTTGTAAGTTGGAATAGGTACATTTCTTAAGTGTAACTCCAGCCAATATATAGAGAGTGGGGAGTGAGTGAGCTTTGGATAGCATAGGGAAGGGCTAACACCCTGTGGTGTGTTTCCTGTCTGTTCCCTGTTCAGAAGATTTCAAGTCACTTTTTTCCATGATAATTGGATCTTGAAAATTTGGGGTTGTTGTGGAAACAAGGATTGGCAAGGAAGCTTCAGTGGAGACCCATTTTCCCCATGATAATAACTTTATCAGGAGTGAATTTGTCTTCCAAGGGATAGGTTTCTCTCACTTCCTGTTGTCTCACCCTCATTCTTAAATAAATTGTTTGTAAGACAGATGTGTGCAACTCAGGGACTGCCTGTACTAAGGCTACTTCCTGACAAATAGCATTTTTAATGCTATTCACTTTTTTTGTTGTATACAAAAAGTGACATTGCAAATGAACCTCCCCAATATATAAGCAGAATTTCAGTTTATTTTTGTCCATATCCTGTCCTGGTTTTTCCTCGGGGACTGCGTGTACACAACATAGACTTTGGACACAGTTTAGAAGAATGTATTAAACATTTGAAAAAGATAAGCAGTCAACTGAAAATCAAACGCCTCAAAGCCAATGGAAAAATTAACACTTTTGAGACTTTGCAAACCTTATCCATCAGCACCTGAAAAAAAGGAAAGAACAGCTATTTTGGGGATTTTCCAAACATTTGTCACTCTTGCACTCACCAGCAAGTACATCTTTCATAGGTGTGCGTGAGATTCCAGGTGTTGGGGAGCGAGGATCCCAGCTCAAATCTTGTTTATCAGCAATCACATCATCATGATCCTTAAGAATAGTAAGGGGACTTTCCTGGGGTGAGTTTTGCACCTGAGATGGATTGAACAAGAGCATGATTAATGCTAGAGAAGGGGAGGAAGCAGGGGCAAGTACCAATGGGCACTTGCTTTGGAAGGGCAGGCATAGAAGTCTTCTCATACCTCAATAGGAGTTCTCAGGATCCCAGCTGTGGGTGATCTTGGATCATGGACATATGCCAGGTGCTTATTAAGCAAAGGTTTGCAGGTGGGCGTTGCTGGGCAGCTCTCAGAAGCCCCCATGTCAGTCAGAAGTCGGGAGGGCGGTTCCTCAGAGCAGTTCCCACAGGGAAGAAACTCTGCAGAAAGAACTATTATTAATAAGAATATTTATTTATAACCTGCTTTATCTCCCTTGAAGGGGACTTAAAGTGGCTTAACATAAAAGCATCAGCATAACCATTTAAAATATACAAATATACGAACATTAAACCAGGATTAAATACAACCAATATTTTTTAAATCCCAGTTTAAAACTATTAAAACACGTTCAAAGTTAAAAACCACAGCGCACCATTAATTGATCTTAAGCACCCTCATTTTAAAATGCTTGCCTGATTAAAAAGGTTTTAGCCTGCTGCCAGAAGGACAGCAAGGAGGGGGCCATTCTGGCTTCCCTGGGAAGAAGGGCGTTCCAGACTTGAGGGGCAGCCACTGAGGAGGAAGGCCCGCTCTCTTGAGATGGAGGTGGGACTGAGAGGAGGGCCTCTCTTGAAGATCACAGGGCCTGGGCAGGTTGATACAAGGGGATGCAGTCAGCTAAACAGCCTGGACCTGAACCGTCTAGGGCAGGCTTGGGCAAACTTCGGCCCTCCAGGTGTTTTGGACCTGTCGGCTGTTAGGAATTGTGGGAGTTGAAGTTCAAAACACCTGGAGGGCTGAAGTTTGCCCATGCCTGAAAGTGGTGCTGGGAAACTCCTGTTCAAACCTCTGGCCATTGATCTGTGGGGTTTCACTTTGTCCCCCATGCAACAGCCAAACATATACAGGTTAAGCGGCTGAGGGGGAAAAGGAAGTGACCTGAGGCTGCTAGGAATTGTGAGAGTTGGAGTCCAAAACATCTGGAGGGCCCAAGTTTGGCCATGCCTGATCTACAATCATGTAGCTTTGGTGCCACTACAAACTAAACATCCCAGGATTCCATAGGACAGGCGAATGGCAGGTAAAGTACCAAAGAGCATTAATTCTGCAGAATGGAGGCCTCCCCCTCAAGAGTCCCCTTTGCTCCAGAAGAGCACTAGGCCAGTGGTTCTCAACCTTTGGTTTCCCAGGTGTTTTGGCCTATAACTCCCAGAAATCCCAGCCAGTTGACCAGCTGTTAGGGTTTCTGGAAGATGAAGGCCAAAACACCTGGGGACCCACAGGTTGAGAACCACTGCGCTAGGCCCAAGCACGCCCCTTCCCCTCAACTCACGCTCTCTGGGAACAGCCAGCCAGCCAGCCTCCCTCGCCCTCCACTGCATCCAGACGCCGTTCGAATCTCGCGCCTGCCCCCGCCCTCCCCGGCTCCCCCGCTCTCATTGGAGCAAGCAGCTGTCACTCACCCACAACCTCGCGACGTCCGTTGGTAAGCCTCCTGAAGTCTTCTTTTCAGTCGCTTGGATTGAGACCCGCCCTCCAGTGTGGCTCTTTCATAGGGAGACGGCGTTATCCATCAGCGCCGACGTTGCTTTCTGATTGGTCAATTCGGGCAAATACAAAATCACGTCACCCAACGTTAGGGCGGGATCACGAAAGAGAGTGAGCTTTTCTCATTTGTTGGAAGGGGCCTCTCCAGTCTTGATTGGATAAACCAGCTGTCTGTTTAAAGAATGGCTCAAGAGGAAGGCTAGACGGACGAGAAGTAGTCGGATCAGGCTCCGCCTTGTCTTTCTTCTGCGCTGATTGGCTGGAGGGGCTTGCCGTTTCTTGCTCGCTGATTGGTGGGCGGCTGGCTGTGGGCGGTGTCGCAGAAAGCAGTTGTCATGGCGGAGCTGAGCGAAGCGTTACTCTCGGTGCTGCCCTCTATCCGGGTGCCCAAGGCCGGGGACCGCGTCCATAAGGATGAGTGCGCCTTCTCCTTCGACACCCCGGTAAGGCGCCCATAGGGCCAGGCGGCTCCGATTATCGGCTTCGAGGCAGAAGGGAGGGGGAGGAGGAGGAGGAGGAAGAAGAGAGTGTCGGCCGCGCAAGGGGTTGTGGGACTTGTATTCCTCCAGGGAAGGTCTCCCCTTTGAACTTACAGGTGGGGGAAGGGATGGAACACTACAAGTCCCATGAGGCTTAGCGCCTCCCTTCGCACACATTTATTCGCGGAGCCTTTTGCCTCAGGAACTCTCCCAGAGCAGTCGTTAAAGGCGGAAAGCGCGGGGGGGGGGGGAGAGCGGGGCATGCTGGGAAGTGTAGTCCTCCGTCCATGCCGGGCTTGCTAGTGCGGCCTCTCAGGGACTGCGAATCCCAACGTCCTTCGGGCGGAGGAGGGCTGTGTGTGGCACTACGTCACCAGGGAGATGCTTCTGGCCTCCAACTTCCTGGCCATTGAACGAGCTGGCTAGGGTTTCTGAGAGCTGGAGACCCAAACACCGAGAGAGAGGGCCGCAGTCGGAGGAGGCCTGGCCCAGGGAGACCCTGAGGTATTAGGAAGGCGCCCGCTTGCCTTAGGCCTCCCCCCGCTCCCAGGCCTCGCCAACTGTTTGATGGAGTCGCTCATTGGCTTGTGTTTGTTACCGCCCTTCTGGGGTGAGGCATGAAAGCACCATTATTCGTTTCCATCTTTCCTATTAGTCACTCCGAAATTAGAGGCACAGCCAGAAGCTATAAAGATGGCACTGTATGGGCAAGACGATTGATTTTGAGTCCTGAGGAAGTATTCAGCCAACTAGAAGGTGCTACCTTGAGGAGGAAATGCCTCTGAACCCTTGTTTCTCGCTTAAGACTCTTCCACACACCCCTGTATCCCAGACTTTATGCTTTGAACTGGGATATCTGAGTCCACACTGCCATATATCCCAGTTCAACGCAGAAAATGTGGGATTTTATTCAGCTGTGTAGAAGGGGCCTTTCAGACAGGCTCTATATCCCAGAATCTGATCCCAGGTGTTCTGCTTAAACTGGATTATATGAGTCCACTTCCAGATAATCTGGGATAAACAGAAAACCTGGGATCAGATCCCACAGTTTCTGCTTTGAATAATAATAATAATAATCAACTTTATTTATAACCCACCACCACTCCCCAAAGGGGACTCAATGCGACTAACATGAGGCCAAGCCCAAAAATAATACAACATAATTAGTCACAAAACAACAAAGACACATCACCACAGAATATCTATATAAATAAAAATGTAATGTTCGTTTGTGGGATTATCATAACTCAAAAACCACTGGATGAGTTGACACCAAATTTGGACACAATACACATATCAGGCCAACAAGTGACCATCACTCTCAAAAACACTGAAAAACATAGCAGAAGAAACTTAAAAAGACAGAAAACAAAAAAAATACATTACAATGCATGCACACACCCCCACACATACATATGTATATGCAAACACACATATACATACATTTATACACACACATATACATAAATATATACACACACAAAACATATACACAGACTGGGCCACAGCAACACGTAGCAGGGGATGGCTAGTATAAAATAAACAAAATGCCATGAACAGTGCAAAATAACATAGTAAAAATCAAACACAAAGGTGGGCCAGATACATGAGATAAAATCTTAAAGCGTTAACACCCTAGGTGAGATAGGAATAAAAAAGTATATTTATATTTGTAAGGGAGGAGCCCAAGATGGAGGAGCAGTGGGGTTAGGCCTTTATTAAGGACAGGGAAGGGAATATATGGCATTGTGGACTCAAATGACCCAGTTCAAAGCAATTATTGTGAGATTTTCTGCCTTGATATTTTTGGTTATTTGACTGTGTGGAAGGGCCCTTAGTTGTCTTAAAAGACCAACAGAGAAGTAAGGCCTTCTCTGTAGTGATATTTGACAGACAGCACAATTCTGTCAGCCCCCGGTTACACTGCGAACTGTGCACAACAAAAGACATCTAAAGATGTGCTTAAAGCTAACCTAAAATATGTGGCATGAACACCAAGAGCTGGGAATCCTTGGCCCTCCAGTGTTGGAACTGGAGTTACCAACAGTGGTGTGGATTTCGAAGAGGCACGAATAGAGGATGAAAGGGATAAAAGTGCCAAAAGGAAGGTGCAGCAAGCCAACCCTTCCACCTGGGAATGTGTCCTCACTGCAAAAGACCATGCAGATCCACAGTAGGTCTCCACAGTCATTTACAACACTTCCATGTCTCTACCCTTGGAAGACAAGCATACTTGGACACATTCTAAAACTGGATTATATGGCAGTGTAGATCGAGCCATAGTAGTGGCAATGAGATGAGTTGGTCCTTCTCTCACCACCAGTGCAATGATTCCATGGGGATGCCACAGTTTCACCCAGCTGAGGCTCCTCCCACCCTCACCATACACATACAGTAGCATATCATCATAGGCAATCATGTGTGTCTGAATGTTATTGTCTTCCAAGAATAGAGTTTTGGTGGTAAATAACTGTTACAGATTTATTCTGGATCCACATGGTTTTTTGCAGTGACAAAATAGATTTCCAGATGGAAGGCATTCCCGACATGTCTTTGCTTGTCTCTTCTTCCTCTTGACACATTTCTCCCTTGCACCCTCTCTTTGTGCCTCTTCAAAATCCACAGTACTTTTGGAAACAGCTGACCTCCAGTAAGATGCTTGAGAGCCAGCATTTCCCAGTTCTCTGTGTTTAAGTCACATTTTTAAAGGTTAGCTTCAAGCCCATCTTTAAATCTCTTTTGCTGTCCACCAACATTCCATTTTCCATTCTTGAGCTGAGTGTAAAGTAACTGCTTTAGGAGAGAGTTATTAGGCATTTGTATTATGTAGCTGGTGCAGCGTGGTGATGGAAGATCATTGCTACAGTGCTAGTGGTCTTTGCTTTTTCCAGAACCCTGCCATTTGTCTGCCTATCTTCCCAAGAGATTTGGAGAAGCAGAGAGTGATGTTTGAAGATGTTCCATATTTGCCAGTGTACAATAGAGCTGGAAGGACAATCACTTTATGAACAAGCATCTTGGTATCCCTGCGAATGTCCCAATCCTTGAATACTCCCTCCTTCATTTGAAAAAATGCTATGCCCACAGAGCCCAGACAATGATGTATTTCAGTTTTGATGTCAACTTTTGTAGAGAGATGGCTGCCTAGTTAGCAGAAATTGTCAATATTTCCTAGCATTACACCATTAAGGTGGCATTGCAGGGAGATGTGGTGGTGCCTGCTGGTAGAGTACTTTGGTTTTCTCAATGTTAAGTGAGAGGCCAAGCTTTTCATATGCTTCTTCAAAGGTGTTTAAAGTGGCTTGTAGGTCTTCCTCTGAATGAGCACAGACTACATTATCATCAGCATATTGGAATTCTATAGCAGAAGTTGTTGTGATCTTTTGCCATGCTGAGGTTAATGAGCTTGCCATTTGCCCGACAGGTAATTTCCACACCACTGGGAAGCTTCCCATCAACAAGGGAAGATGAAAAATAAGGTTGGGGCAATAACGCATCCCTGTTTGACACCTGATCCTACTTTAAATGGATCACTTTGGGAGTTGTTGCTGTCCAAGATTGTTGTTGTCATGGAGGAGCCACAGGATGTTCATCTGATTTTCAGGAAGATGGTTCAGAGAGCATTGTGATTCAGTGTGTCAGAGGCCTTTGCAAGGTCAATGAATGCCATGTACCGAGGTTAATTTTGTTCCCTGTGTTTTCCTTGGAACTGTTGTTCCATCGATTGATCCTCTGGAGAGGCAGAAGCCATTCAGAGATTCAGGGAAGATGTTTTCTGAAATAGGATTGTACACATGTGTTCCATGCATAAGACTATGAGCAGGTAGTATTGGCTTTGCTATTTTCCTCATCCTCTGCCTTTGCCAGTGGGCAGAATTGGACAATGAATTATGTCTCCACCTGCTCTTCCATTTCATTAGAAAGATCCTTTGCCCTGTCATCCAGTGAACTGTAACTGGGCTTGGGAATGGTTTGAGCTGGAGCAGGCATGGACAAACTTTGGCCCTCCAGGTGTTTTGGACTTCAACACCCACAATTCCAAACAGCCTGTAGCTAGAGGCATCTTTATTCAAGATGGAGTAAATAATGGAAACAGTTGTGAACCTACAATATGCTGGGAGGGGGTGCTATCTTATAACCAGACAGTTGTGAATTTCCAGTTGGGTTACTGTAAGTTTTTCGGGCTGTATGGCCATGTTCCACAAGCATTCGCCTGATTTTTCACTTTCATCTATGACAGGACCTCAACCTCTGAGGATGCCTGCCACAGATGCAGGCAAAACATTAAGAGAGAATGCTTCTGGAACATGGCCATACAGACCGAAAAACTTACAGCAACCCAGTGATTCTGGCCATGAAAGCCTTCGACAACACGGTTTGGACTGTTTTAGACTGTTCATTTGATGCTCCTCTCAATCAGACTTGTTGGAGACAAAACATGCTAAAAGACTAGCATGTTGGAGAGAAGGTTCCAGCCTGGCTTTCTTACTAGCATACTAATTTGGAAAACATTGGAATATTTTTTACCTGTAAAGCATTTAAAACACTGG